CTCAGCCATTGTGGGCGTTTGGAGAATGGCCCAGTGTATGGGAGCTCTTTGTCTACTAAAACACAGAAAGAGAGAGAACGTGCTCTTTTCTACTGATTCACTCACCAAATGTATGCAAGAAGTCATAAAATGGAAACTCAACTCAATTGTCAGGGGCCCAACTACTTGAGCCATTATTATTTGCTGCCTCCAGGTCGCACAGTAGTAGGAAGTGGGGTGGAGCTTGGGCTCAAACCCAGGCACTCTAATATGTGAGATGTGATCATCTTAGCTGCTAGGCTAAATACCCATCCCATGCCCCATCCCTTCAATGCTTTCGTAGTAGGCTAAGCCTCTGCTGCAATACCGACATCCCATATGGGTGTTGGTTCTAGTCCTGGCTGCTCCTCTTCCAATCCAGCTCTCTGCTATGGCTTGGAAAAGCATTAGAAGATGGCCCAAGTGCTTGGCCCCTGCACCAGCATGGGAGACCTGGAGGAAGCTCCTTGCTCCTGGCTTCGGATTGGCATAGCTCTGGCCCTTGCGGCCATCTGGAGAGTAAACCAGTGGAAGGACCTTTCTCTCTGTCTCTTCCTCTCGTTGTCTGTAACTCTAACTCTCAAATAAATAAATAAAATCTTAAAATAAATAAATACATCTTTTAAAAAGATGTATTTATTTGAAATGCAGTGTGTGTGGGGTGTGTGTGTGTGTTTGTGTTTGTGTAGAGGGGACGCGTGCAGATAGAGATAGAGAGGGGGCTGGCACTTTGTACTGTGGGTTAAGCCACAACTTGCCTCATAGATATCCCATATGGGCACTGGTTTGAGTCCTGGTTGCTCCACTACCAATCCAGCTCCCTGCTAATGTGCCTGGGATGGCAACGGAGGATGGCCCAAGTCCTTAGGCCCCTGGACCCATGTAGGAGACCCAGAAGAAGCTCCTGGTTCCTGGCTTTGGCCTGGCCAAGCCCTGCTCCTTGTGGCCATTTGGGGCATAAACCAATGGATGGAAGACTCTCTGTCTCTCTGTCTCTGTCTCTTTTTCTTTCTCTTTCTATCCTTCTCTCTTTCTGTCTCTCCTTCTCTCTCTCTGTAACTCTGACTTTTAAATGCATAAATAAATCTTTGAGGGGAAAAAAGAAGAAATAAAGACAGAGCTTCTATCTGCTGGTTCATTTGCCAAATGACTCAAAAGCCAGGACTGGGCCAGGCTGAAGCCAGGAGCCAGAAACTTCATCCGGGTGTCTGACATGGGCAGCAGGAACCAAGTATTGGGGCCATCATCTGCTGCCTTCCCTGTTTAAGTGCACAGAGGAACTGTGATACATAAAACAATACCATGATAGGAGATGTGGGTGCCCCAATTCATGTTTTAACCTACTGCACCATGACACCTGCCGTTCATGCCTTATTAAAATGAGTTATTTGTAAGCTGCTGATTTTGAGGGGAAATTATCTTCATAAATTTCATCATTCATACAACCTGGCTTCACCATCAATTTGATATTCTTTCTTTAGCTTTAGCAGAATTCATGCTGTTCTGGTAGGGCCTCTTTTTCCACAAACTTTTAAAATTAGCCTCCATATTATATGCCGTTATAAAACTTAGGAGTTAGAGGGGGAAAAAAAGGATCATATACTATAACCAAAGATTAGTTATAGGACTCTGAAGAGATACATTATATATATATATATATATATATATATATATATATATATATATAATTTGACTGATAGAGTGAGAGAGAGAGACAGAGAGAAAGGTCTTCCTGCCGCTGGTTCACCCCTCAGATGGCTGCTACGGCCAGCGCTGCACCGATCTGAAGCCAGGAGCCAGGTGCTTCCTCCTGGTCTCCCATGCTGGTGCAGGGGCCCAAGAACTTGGGCCCTCCTCTGCTGCCTTCCTGGGCCACAGCAGGGAGCAGGACTGGAAGAGGAACAACCGGGACTAGACCCTGGCTCCCATATGGGATACCGGTGCCACAGGCAGAGGATTAACCAAGTGAGCCATGACGCCGGCCCCTCTTAAAGAGATACAGTATAAAGAGGGCTGATATTAAAAAAATTTGAGGTGAAAGATGGAGTCATGGAAAAGATAGAGTTGGAGTGATGAACAGAGTAACACAACCACCTTGGCATTAATCCAAAAAATCAGAGCCAGAACCAAAGCTATAAGGAAAGCCTGCTGAGAAATATTCTTAGTATGTTTTCAATCAATAATTTAAAAAGGGGGAAGCGCTGTGGATCACTTGGTTAATCCTCCACCTAAGGCGCCGGCATCCCATGTGGGCACTGAGTTCTAGTTCCAGTTGCTCCTCTTCCGGTCCTGCTCTCTGCTGTGGCCTGGGAGGGCAGTGGAGGATGGCCCAAGTGCTTAGGTCCCTGCACCGGCATGGGAGACCAGGAAGAAGCACCTGGCTCCTGGCTTCGGGTCGGCGCAGCACCGGCCATAGCAGCCATTTGGGGAGTGAGCCAATGGAAGGAAGACCTTTCTCTTTGTCTCTCTCACTGTCTGTAAACTCTACCTGTCAAATAAAAAAAAAATGAACTTGGAGTTGTAATATATATATAATAAAATATACCCATCTTAAATTTATAATTGTTTTCTGATAAGTGAATGTAATTGTACAGCCACCACATAGAATATTTCAACCACCACCAAAATACTTTACTTTCCCTTTGTAGTCGACCTTCAACCCCAGCCCTTGGCTGTAGTCAATCATAAGTTTGCATGTCAGTATAGTTTTTTTAATAATTTAATATAAAAAGAATTATATAGTTCATACTGTTTTGTTTGATTTTCGTTCAGTATGTTTTTAACATTTTGTTCCTTTTCATTGTTGAATGGTATTCCATTGGATGGATATGTCGGTAATTCACTTATGAGTGGGATTTGGGTAATTTCATTTTTTTTTTTTTTTGAAAATCAATCATTTATTAGAACCAATACAAGAGTATCCAAAGAAGGAAAAGAGGAGGGTGGAAGAGGGGGAGAGAAATAGGACTGCATCCGAAGTCAGTTCTGGAAACATATAAATGCCTACTTTTAAACATTTACATTTTAAAGACAAACATACACATAGATCACTTATCCTTTAAAAAATAAAACAAAAGCAAACTTGTTTGGCTGAAATAAAAGCAAAAAACACAACTGAAACTCCCCCAAAAACCAAACTTTTTTTTTTCCATTTCCTTTGAGAAACCTGGTACAGAGTGAGCATTGGCTATTACATTAAGTCCTTCCTTGTAGAAAAATCCATGTCTTCCATGTTTATGGGAGTTAATGACACTGTTCAGATCTTTTATATTTTTAATGATTTTTTTGGTATATTTTTGATTGTTTATTGAGAATAGAGGGTTAAAAATCTCTAGGATTTTGTTTACCTGTTTTCACTTTGGTTCTGTTTTGCTTTATGTGTCTTGAGGCTACATCATTAAGTATGTATAACATATAGAATGGTTATATGTACTTAATGTATTATCTTTTTATCATTGTGAAATACCATTCTTTGATTCTAGAAATAAAATCTACTTTGCATGATATTAATATATGAGTCCCTCCCATTTTTTCATGGTTCTTTTTCTTTTTTTAAAAAAAATTATTTATTTATTTGAAAATCAAGAGTTACATAGACAGAGAAGGAGAGGCAGAGAGAGAGAGAGGAGATGTCTTTCATCTGCTGGTTTATTCCCCAGTTGGCCACAATGGCCGGAGCTGTGCCGATCCGAAGCCAGGAACCAGGTGCTTCTTCTGGGCCGCCCACGTGGGTACAGGGGCCCATGGACTTGGGCCATCTTCTGTTGCTTTCTCAGACCATAGCAGAGAACTGGATCAGAAGTGGAGCAGCCAGGTCTCAAACCCGTGCCCATGTAGGGTGCCAGTACTGCAGGCGTAGGGTTAAAACGCTACGCCACAACGCCAGCCCCGGTTAATTTTCTAATAATATGTCTTTTCCATCCTTTTACTTTTTAACTCAATTGTGTCTTCATATTTAAAGTGAGTCTCTTGGAGTAATACTGAATTACTTCAGTGAAAAGGTAGGGACTTTATAGCTATTGTCTCTGGGGTAACTTGGAGGAAGAGTACATGAGAACTCCTGTACTATTTTTTTCTACTTTTATGTGAGTCTAAACTCATTTCAAGAGTATTCATAATTGTTGTAACATTTTCATGTTGGATTCTCTGAAATTCTTGCTGACCTCTCTTGGCTGTTCCAAAAGCCATCTTTGCATTGTTCTTCAGTCCAACTGACTGCTACCTTTGCTCCAGGCCCTCTAAGCATATGGACTGTGGTAGATTTATCCTCAGAGTCCCTAACTCTTGCTTTCTTTTGAGTCCATTGCATTGGAGCACCAGCATGCCCCCCCCCCATGTTAAGTGCAGCTGTGGACATGGGCTAATAAGGATATTAAAGAAGGAGGAAGTTGTGGAGAAATGCCCCTGCTATTGGCAACACTACTGAGGAAAATAGGTAGCTGAAGGCTGGCAATGAGGTAGACAAAGAAGAAGAAGGTGGGGAGGAGAATGGAGAGGAAGATGCTGAGGGCATATGGGCAGCTGGAGATGAAGAAGATGACAGGTTGACTGTAAGAAGCAGGAGACTAGTACGGATGTCTTGAGAGCAAAAAAGGAAAAGTTAAAAAAATAAATAACCTGCAGTGACCTAGTCATCCTTTACTTCCTATCTTAGAGTCTAATTCTGGTCACTTTCTGGAGTGGGTTAAGTGGCTAAGTAATTCCTTGGATTGCTTGTTTCCCAAACCAGAGTGCCTGGGTTAAGTCCAGGCTATTCCACTTCCCATCAAGCCACCTGCTGATGTGCAACCTGAGAGGCAGCCAGCTCTGGCGGTTACATACATCTGGGAGTGAACTGGTATATGGAAGATCTCTGTTTCTGCCTTTCAAATAAAATGAAAATTAAAAAAAATTAAAGGAAAATGTCACTTTGAAGCAGAAAGTCCTGCCTGTCCACTGCCAGCAGCACCACCTATAGGCAGCATGCACTCTTCAACATTTTTTTTTTTTACTTTGAAGAGAAATGATATTTTAATTCTTCCATTGTAAAAGAAAATTATAGCACTGATAATTTCCTTTATGGAGAATAACAATGATCCAAATTCATGAATTAAGGAACCATTTCAGGAATTGTTGGAAGGTGAGCTATTCTGTAGTAACTATGCTTCAGTTGCTGTGCAGTACGCCCAGACACAATCCATTTCAACTTCTGAACATTCGGTTTTGAACACTTGTTTGATGAATACTCAATTAAGCACTTTGATACAAGCTCTTGCCAGAAGGTCAAATCTCTGCTATTTATCTTGGAATGTTTCTGAAGACATTCTATTCCTTCTGTTAACTCCACACACTGCTGTGCTTGGATCTCCAATGCAGTGATAGACAAAGCCAACACAGAAGGCTTTGCTTTAGAAAATATGATCTTGCAGTGACATGCCTTAAGTTGAGCTTCCAGTCTTTAAAAATTAAGGTTATTTCTCCTTTCAAATGGCAAGTTCTCTTGAATGAGTGAATAATAGAGTTGCAGAAACTGAAAGGCAGTAGTAGCTTTGACTTTCCAACACACCTTCTCCAATACAATCTTTTCCATTCTCATCAAGTCTGAAACCGTGAACCTATACTGACTTATCCGGATCAAGTCAGTTGCCAGTGGCACATTCCTTTCCTCTTCTATTGATTTTACAGCCGAATAAAAACAGCTCAGACCAACAGATCCAAGGTGCTCGGGCTGTACCTTCATTTTAGACAGAAATCTGTCCAGTAAATTCACAGCTAGAGAAAATGTCTCCGTGTCAAAGCCAAAAAACTGAGTGAGACTAAGAAGATCTTTCACTTCGAAGTCCCTCAGCTGTGCAGTCATTCTGAGGCCATTATCGTGTGCAGACTCAATTAGTCTCAAGCCGCAGACCTTTGGCTGACATCTAGACTCCTGTTCCAACAAAGTGTTCAGCTGGTGTAGCAGTTTCTGAGAGTCAGTTGTTGTCAATACTTCTATCATCTTGATAGCAGCTGCAGCTCCTCAGTGGTAACCTCCCTCCCTGGGCCTGCTCTCACCTCACCCCCACGATATCAGATTCCAGCGGTCTACGAGATGAGGGGTCTCTCGAGGGAGAGGGGAGAGGCCCGGGGAGGGGGAGCCATCCTGGGTGGAGGTCTTTGCAGCGCCGCCCAGATGACACTGCCCTCCGGAGGGTCAGCTCGGAGCCGAAGGGCAATACACAGTTATTCTTAAGTGTTGAAAATTAACTGAAAAGTGATTGCTGTTAAATATAAGAGTGGGAATAAGAGAGGGAAGAGATGTGCAATTTGGGACATGCTCAAGCTGAATTGCCCCAAATGGTAGAGTTAGAAACATACCAGGTTATTCCAATTCAATCCCATAAAGGTGGCATGTACCAATGCCATCTCACTAGTCCCAGTGATCAACTTCAGTTCACAATTGATCATAATGATAGGACTAAGAGCCCAAGGGATCACAGAAACAAGACTAGTGTCTGCAAATACTAGCTGATAAAATAAGTGGGGAGCAACTGGGAGCAACTCGGACTAGACTAAGTTACTGGAATTAAGACTTATTGTATGCATCTGCTCTCCCACAATATGGCACTGGGAGAGGAGGAAACAGCTTCTACCCAGCTGCCTCTCACCAACTTGACAAGCTGCAGGACCTGCTCCTGATTGGAGGAGAGCAGCGTACTTGGCGTGTGGGTAGCAGAGCTGGGATTGGTGGAAGAGGACTATAAAGGAGGAGAGAGACAACATGCACCAGGAACATCTATCTGAAGGAACACCTGTGCAGCCCCCGAGAGAGCCGGCCGGCAGTGTGCCGCTCCCCTGTGGAAGTGGGGAAAGTGACAGGGGAACCGCCCTTCCACGGAGGTGGAAGGGTCAGTAGCCAACCCGGGAAGAACCAGCAGCAAACCCGGGGAGGGCCGAGCAGACAAAAGAACAGTGCAGGGTCCTGTGTCATTCCTCCACGAAGACGGGGAGCAACATAATGGTGCCGTGACTCGGATATGAAGCCAAGGCAGGGTTTAGTGTCGTTCCTCCGCGAAGAGGGGAGCGACATAATGGTGCCGTGACTCGGATAGGGAAACCTAGGAGGAAAGAAATGGGAAGAAGTGGGAAAATACCGGAGAGAGAGACTAGCAAAGAGCCTTGGGAAAAGCCGGACGGAAAAGGTGCCGGAAGAAGCTATTGAAAGCCTAGGTATAGACTTGGATACGGACTGTGGGAAAGAAGTTAGGATTTAAAGTGAAAGCAAGAAGAAACTTAGACTCGGATGCGGACTATGGCGGGGAAGCTAGGAGATTAAAAGCGAAAGTGAAAGCTAGAACAAACAGACTTGGATACGGACTGTGGGGAGAAGCCAGGAGAAATGAGGGAGGAATATTGTTGGAAGAAAAGTTAGGAAACATACCGGGTAGAGAAAAATGTTAGGGAGGGTGTAGCCGCGGGGGCAGGCCGAGGCGGAAACGTAAGCTAGCTTGGAATTCTTCAAGTCAGCCCGGGGAGCAAAAGGCGAAAAACTAAACCAGAGGCGGAGACGCGTGGGCCAGGTTGGAATCCGTCAGATTAGCCCAGGGAGCAAAGGACGGGAAGCCAAACTGTGGGGCGGAAATGTGAGCTGGGTTGAATTCGCCAGGGTAGCCGGGGGAACTTGGACTGAATACTGGTGGCGGAGACGTGAGCTGGGCTGTGTGACTCTGGTGGCGGAGACGTGAGCTGGGCTGTGTGACTCGCGGATGTCGCTGCGCGCAGAGAGAGCGCGGGGCACGAATGGGGGAGGGCGCCCAAGGCGTAAGTAGATAGGAATTCGGGGCTAGTGTGAGGCCGTGGTGCGGGTGCGAAGGGCACAGAGACCGCGGAGCACACACGAAGCCGGGAAGCTGCGCAGATGAGAGAAGCGCGGGCTGAAGTGGCGCAGAGCAGAGCCGGAAAGCGCCCGCGGGGCGAGGTGCCGAGAAGCA